TATATATATATATATATATATATATATATATACCCCGCCACTAGATACTAGGAAGCACACGGCTGTGAAAGGCTATGCTAGCAAAATCCTGCCCATCCACAATACCTGGGAACCTGTAATGGTTTGACAAACATTTGCAGTGCCACTCAGTTTTTCTGTTGACCCCAGATGCCAAACCAAAAACCAGCAAAAATGACCGACGAGCAGAACCTAGTAACGCAGGAGTTCCCTTACATTTACTGTCTGCGGCAGTGAAGCTGCGAACGGCACAGCCAGACTGCTTTGCCGGAACAGTTTTTCGGGTCGAGCCAAGTTCGTACTGTGCCTCTCTTGCGGACGGAGCACTTTCCATCGTAAGGGGTCTGCGAGACGAAGACGTCATGGTCGTCATAATAAAGGTGCGGAGACATCAAAGATCTTTCCGGAGACTCTTTCCTTCTGCCAGCGTATTCAAATGTGTAACATATTCGTGATTCCAGCAGGCTGATTCCGTTTGCATGCTAGCCAGCGTGACATGCTTGGTATTTGTAAACGATCCCTTTTGCTTTACTGTACCTGTCTTAGTTTGGACAACCAGATTGTGTACATCACGAAGGAGAATCAACTCCCAACGTATTGTCAGAAGGCATCACATTCTATAAGGGGCTTCTGATGAAGCAACTTCACAGGGAACGTGAGATTGGAGAGCAACTCGACTATGGCAAAGGAGCAGAAACTGTATCTAAGTCTTCAACTACGCAATCCGACGTGAAGAAGAGGAAGCCTCCCAGCGCTGTTGAGGGGGAAAGCCACGCAGCACCTGCGCACCTTACCGATGGAAATATAGACTCCCTGAAACACGAGCTGCAGTCGCTTCAACAGTCGCGCCAGAGGTTTGAAGGGTACCTCAGTACAACCAGAATGGCACAATCTTTTGTCCAAGACCAAATTGCAGCATATTCGTGTGCCGAAACCGAGCTACTGAGGGAACTAAGGACTGAAATGGAACAATCCTTTCTCCCTCCTCCTTCGCATAATGGTTCCAGGCGAAGCAGCCACAGGACGTCTCTAACCTCCTTTCAGCGCCTCATATCATTCTCCACTGGTTATGCTAATTCATCGCAACCAATAGAATCCCTGCTTGCCCAACTAAAGCCCCTTAGAGAACCTATAATTCCTGCTGAGCCACCAGTGCCTGGACCTAAGTTCCGGGAAGTTGTCCACTATCCGTCCTCCTCCCCTGCACTGGAGCCTCCAGCAAAGTTCTTTCTGTTTGCGCCTGTACCGACTACACCGACGGAAAAGGTGGAGGAAGAAGAAGGTAGAAACAGAACCAAAAGGCCAAAGGATGTGGCGTCTTCTATTACAGCCAAACTAAAGACGAAGCAGGAGAAAGGGTAAGGATGGCCGCATATAGGAATATGAAGCAGTACTCCTCTTCGTTAAGCTACCCGATGCACCAAGAAAGAACTGCAGAAATTAACTCGATTTGGAATATTTCACCCAGGATTCCCGATGGCAAGAACAAAACAATGTGTTTTACTCAGCGGAGAAGAAGAGAGCTTAGCAGTACGATTGACAGTGGAACCAGGGTTCACGAAGGCCTCCAGGTGGACGTTGCAGCCCCAAGCGGAGCAGCGCTTGCTCCTCAAATGCTATGCTGACGAAGAGGGAGAGATTGCATGCACTCTACACTTCTCAGTGGTTGGAGACCCTCAAACGTTCCTGCTTGCAGCAAAGGCTACCTGCTCTCTACCAAGGTTGCTTAATTTTCCTGAAGGCTGTTTTGAACATGCGATAGAAGAACGACCTCTTCAGTGTGCTATAAAAAAGACCTACATAAGCAGTGAGGTATATCTATGCTTCAAACTATATGTATCCATTTATAATTTGCCGCGCATTACTCGTCAACTTCTGAAAACGATAGCTGAAAACGATAGCTACAGCGTAGCACATACAAAGTTAAGGGCAACTTGGAGGAGCTGCAAAGCTAGCAGTGATACATGGGTTATTACAATGCTGTTTCTCGCAAGGACGACTTCTACGAGTTGCTCATTCTTCTGCTGGTATTCTAGAACGCACAATTGGATGGGGTTGGAAGCTGCTGACGAAACGTTGACTTTGGGTGAACCGGAACCACCTGCACGCTAATTCGTGTTACTCCACAGGGCGTATTTGACTGGGGGCCACTTCTTGCGGGGCGCTCAGCAACAAACGTAAAGTGCCTGTACTCCAAGACTTCTTCAGCCGAGGAGCTAGACCTCGTTGCAATTCCGCCAGAGCTTTGCGACTTTATGACCCCGCTAACGTTGCAGAATGCGTCTCCCTTCACAACCACTGTTAAGGGAAGTTTCGTTGGAACGAATAATACAGAGGGTGAGGCAACTGGTAGCTGGTAGGGTGACAATCGGGAAAGCTAGATCAAACTTTCTAAGGCCTCCCAGGGGAACCGATACGCCCTGTTGTTTATCCACATGTTAACAATATTCAATCGTCGGAAGCTGGTTTTCACTGTCAGCAGTGCGTATTTGGATGAAAAACCGGTCGGAAGAATTTTAGCCTCTGATGCGGCCTCTGTTGCTCAGTTGAAACTACCAGAGGACGGAAGCCACAGAAGGGACAAGCAGGAGATCCAATTTTCCTTCTATTTCCTTCTGAAATAACACTCACGCCAAATGCGCTGGCACACATGCATCTATGGTGCCTACCCAAGAGCGAAGGCGAAGTTACAGACAAATTAATCCTCACTCTCTCGGACAACCAACGGCCGCTGGAAGTCAAGCTTTCATCTCGTTGTGTGGCACCCAAAATAAACCTGCAGGCAGAGAACATCATGTTTGGAAGGGTTCTCACAGGGAAGACTGCCAGGAGGTTAGTCACTTCTAAAAATGGCCTTTACTGCGGCTCCGCATAGCCCATAGGCTGGAATACTGGTTGCAACGCTGCATACTTAACTATCCGATATTCGGAACGCCCGTCGTAACCACAGTTTGAACCACGATAATTCGCAGTTCAATGATGGCCGGAAGTTTTTGAGCATGCAAATCCTCGTGGAAAAGACAAAAACTTCCCTCTTTATACCTCATGAATTTGCACTGTTTGGGGTGATCGGTGTGAGTAGAACTGTCTTAATTGAGAACCCAACGCCTTTTGAAGTTCGTTGGAACTTCACAACGCAAGAGGTGCCATCAAAATGCTTTTATTTCGACCCTGAGCAAGGTGGAACCTTGGATGCATTCTCGAGCCAGCCACTTAACATTGTTTACGAAGCTCCCCCAAAGCCGTCTACAGCACAGTGCCGTCTTACCTTTCGATGTACAGATGTAGAAGGGATTGCAAACGGCTCCGAAGTCAAAATAATGCAAAGTGAGCAGCGCCATCGCCACTTTACAACACCAATTCGTCTTTTGCATTCCTTCCCCTTCAGAACACGGGGAATCGCCCTAATTTGCGTATGCTGGATCAGTTTCGGCAGAAGCCTTTTGTATTGATGCTGGAATCGAGCTGCAATCAAAGACACGAGTATTTGACTTCGGCAAGGTTCAAGCTTACCAGGAGGCCGAGATACCCTATACCTTATTTAACAGAGGAAAATATCCTATTGAATTTGACATTGAGTACGTCTATTGACAGGGTGGCTAATCGCAAACAATCTATCCCCTTCTTGCTTTCTGAGAGAAACCATGACACTGTTGGTTTGAGAGTAGACTGCCCCTGGCAATAAAATCTTGCGGAAATCCTACAAGTGTAGCCAAGAAATGAAGGGCCCGCAAGAACTCAAGCACCTCTTATAGGTATTCATCTACTTCGTAGCATGGATGCGGCAAATTGGAGGCTTGAACCAGGTGATTTTTCTGGATTCAGCTTCAGTAGCCCGAGGCTTCGAAACCTCCTAACGTTGACACCTCAAAGCGGCGAAGTTAAAGCAGGGGAACAACGGAAGGGAGTTGCACGTATCAGCGCCAGGCATGAAGTTGAACTAACTGGCACAGACGAACTCGCCCTCACAATCAAGGACATAGAATCGGGCTGTCACATGGAACCGCCACAACCACCCCTGCAGGTCACGGCTATCATAGCCTTCAATGAAGTGTCCTTGTCACCCCCGCGGGGTCTCAATTTTGGGCCAATAGAAAGTGGCAAGACAAGCCTGCTGTAGGTCAAGTATTTGAGCTTGGCGTTTTTACTGTAATATTTAAATGAGTTGGTGCATGCGTTTGAGACCCAACATCACACATTGAATGCGACGACAGCCCATCACAACTGCCATCAAACTGTGATAAGTTTGTCCGAGGTAATACCAAGGCAGTTTATTAAAAACGGAAAAAGCAACCCAGTAACTACGTGCAAAGGCGCATATTGTTCCTCGTGAGTTGTTGCCATCTCAGTTTCTTCGAACTGGAAAATAAGGGCCGTTTCTCGTTTGACTGGTACCTGGTCAACCAAGAGTGCATGTTTACTGCTCCTGAAGAGCCAGCTCGAGGACCCGAAACTGTTCAGAAGGGGGAGAAACAAAAGGTAGGGAAGGCCAAAATACAAGGAAAGTCTCCAGAAAGGCCTCTTGGAGCAACATTTGGGCCGTTTAAGATCGTACCTGTACGTGGCCAGCTGGACCCGGGGACTAAAGCATCAATACAAGTCGAGTACAGCGCTCAAGGCGACGCATCGCATTCTATTAGCTTAGCACTTCTGGTAAGGTTGGTCAGGTTGTTCCCGTTTGAATTCTGTAGAGTCCCTCTAAAACTGCACAGCTGGACTGCTCAGAGTTAATAGCTAGCGTACAGACAAATCCTCCCTGCGTCACGGCTCTGCTAAACTTTTGCAGGTTAATGGCGTGAGGATGGGACATGCTGACCAAGGTTTTGTGAGTTCCATCGGCCCAATCGCTGCATTCTTTGCAGATCCCTCTGCTCCCATAGATTTCGAGGCATACGGTCCGGTTAGGCCGGCTGCAAGCTATTTTATTCAAGGCCAAAGCAGCGTTCCATGCATCAGTCTCGAAGTGAGGACCCATAGCTGAAATGGGGAGCAACAAAACAACATCAATCCTCTGCAGTTTGTTTTTCACTGAAGAAAAGCCACCACCGTCGATTTCACAGTACCCGTGGTTCATGTTTTGTTTACATTCCCCGTACTTGTTTCTTTCTTGACAACTCATTGCATTTACGAGATGTCATTTGCAGCCGGAACAGCTCTTCCAAGAACAAGCGCTGGCAACTTCAATGGATGAGGCTTACGCCATATGGCAAAAACGTAGCGGGACAATTTTCGTGCAAGATGAAAACTGCCTATGCTTTGGACCCGTAATTGCTGGCTTTCCAGGATCGGCGTCGGCAGTCGTTGAAACGATTCGCATCGACAATCCGCAGCTTATTCCAGCTGAGATAATTTTCGAGATCAAGCAGGCTCCTAGAGGCCCACATGATAAGAATGCAAGTGTCCTGCTCCTTAACACCAGAAACGCAACCACTGTGAACCCGTGCTAAAGGGGAGCTGTAGCTGTAAAACCCTGAGCCATCTGCACCTCGAAATTGCCTGTGCTCGTTCTGCAGCAACAGGTAGCGGACGATTTAGCGTTTGATGTACAACCGAAGCGCATAGTTGTTGCCCCTCACGATTATGCCCACGCAACGGTGTCGTTCAAGCCCACAGCCCTTCAGCAGTACACATCGGCTCTTCGAATAGCAGTAGAAAAGTCCGCTAATCCACTAACTGGGCAGGCGCAATTTGACCTCCGTGGCGAAGGGACTCTCCCAAGCATAAGTGTGGCCTTCCCAGCGTCTGTTGTGCAGAAGGAAACAAGTAAGTGCACTCATCTAGCGCGTGACAGTCTCCTGCCATATAATCAATCGTATGCCCACGTCTGCACGCGGTAGCCAGATCAACATGCAAAGTAATACACAGAAAACGCCGGAAATTACTAATAAGTGCCGATGCACTGATTCAGAGCCGAAGAGCCACCTGCCCTTCTTCGATTTTGGGCGTATCGCTGTCTCGCGGACGGCGACGATACCGGTAGTCGTTAAGAATGAAGGGATAATTGCTGCAACAGCTCGTGTGCAGCTGCCACCATGCGATTCCATTGATTTTGATTTGCCCAGCTCAATGACTCTGAAGCCAAAAGAGGAGCAAATATTCTCCGTACGCTAAACATCTGTTGATTAAGCTTTTCACTTGTCCACAAGCCCTGTAGGGCAGGAAGAACGCCAACGATGGCTGATTTGTAGAGCTGCAACGCTAAAAGGGCTTCATGCGTGCCCATTGCCCTAGTGCACGCTAAACAAACCAAGGAGAACACGCTCTTGTCGTCGAAAAAACTTCGGGTCCCCTGTGATTGCCTTTCAGCTAGCCTACCGGCCGAAAACACCAGGAGAACTGGACTACAAATTCCGCATCATTACTCATGCTAATCCTTTCGAAAATCTTGAGATCAACATTAAAGGATGCGCCTTTGCAGAAGAGCTCATCTGGTCTGTAGTAGACACAGCAAATCAAACTGGCTTGAGGACAGGCGACGGGGAACTCCTTGATGGGAATCACTTCATGTTTGACGACGTGCCGTTGGGTAAGACAGTTGTTCAGGAACTTATGCTTCGGAACGTCTCGACACAGGCCATATCATTCGACCTAAACATGGAGTCATTAGGGCAACTGAAGGACAGGCTGACTGTCACACCTGGGGGAGGTATAATTACTCCAAATACTTCCTGCTTGGTGAACCTATCCTTCAAGAGTGACGAACCGATTAGTGTAATTCGCCACCCACTCCACTTCACAGCCTTGTTTTCACAGTGCTCGGAGAACAGTCCCAGTTCTTCAAAGACTCCACCGAAAATCAAGGGAAGGGTTAAGAACAAGCAGGCTGACTCCAAATCAGATGGAGCAGCACCAACAAAAATAGAGGTGCCGTCACCAGAGGAGCTGATGCTGTACATCTCCGTTGCGAGCGACGTTCGCCAGTGTGAAGTTAATATTGAAAGGATTGACTTTGAAGCCACAAGTCTCTTCAAGTCGCGTTTGTTCTCTTTTACATTAGTGAGTTGTAGTATCTGATGGGTCACAATTATCGCAGGGAGACCAACCGCTCATACGCCTACGAGGCTTTTCCATTGCTCTTTCTCATTACTTCACACTCCTGTACACTGCTCGTTAATAAACGTGATACGCTTTTGGTACAGACTAATACTTCTGCCGTCTCCGTACCGTATGAAATGTTCTTCGAGAAAGCGAATGAGCGCGATGACCCTTGTTTTTACAAGGTGGCACCTTGCCGGGGTCGCATTTCCAGTGGCGGGCAGCAGGTGTGCAATTCACTAATCACTGTAAATATATAATAACTGGTAACACTAGCATGCTTCTTGTTGCTACTCGTACACTTGCTTTTCCACTTGCAAGGCAGTCTCCAGTGGCCGTTAGCCGGTTGTTGTTGTAAACAAGAGCTTGAATTTAGCTCGTGGAGGCAAAAGTGGCAAGGGTGGCAACCTGTTCTCCTTTTCCTTGCAGACCGTTCAAATAACATTTTCTCCTAAGACTATGGCGGATTTTGACAGAGTCCTCATTTGTAGTTTCCCTAATTTAGTGAACGGATCGTCGCGTCTCTCCATACCAGTGACTGCCACCGCTGTTCGACCGATCTGCCACCTCGAAATCCCTCCGACAGATTATCTCGAACGACGCTCACAGAGCTCCGTTCTCCCGCTTTCCGATAACGTGGCTGTGAGCGTGAATGCGTGACCCTCTGGGGCTGCTGAACTTCCACACACAGATTCGAGGGCTGCGTAACATGCAAAGTTCACTAAAGGTCTATGCATTCATACACCTATTTAAAAACCTTCCCCCATAAAATGATGCAGACATTTTTGTGACTAACCATAGTTTGTATACAACTGCAGGTTCTGGAAATTGAAGGAGTCGGAGTTGGTGTCCACCACACAAGGCGAATTTATGTGCACAACCCGACTGCATGTGACATAGATTTCGAGTGTGAACCTGCGCACGTCCCCAATGATATCACAACGACGCCTTCAAGTTCCACCATCTCTGTTCAGCCTTTTAGATGCTTGACTCGCCGTGGACGGGTCCTCGCGTGTAAGAAAACGGAACTCGTCTTTGAATACTCCGCGACACAGCTGGGTGTGAGCGAAAGGCTATGGACCTTCTCAATACCGTGTGCGTCAATTCAGAAAAATATTCATCCTCCCAGCAATTCTGCTCAAGCGAGCAGCAGTAAAAAATTCAATTTTTGCTGTGATAACTATGGCGGATTAGGCACACGACGATGAATGTCTTATTTGCTACTGTAAGATGGAAGAGAATAGTGCTTGTATGAACCTAAAAGGGTCCCGCTTCCCTTGAGCTGTTTGTGTGTGCCTCATTGCGGCAATCAGCAAAGGAGTTGGTGCAAACATTGCTCTTGGTTGGACGGGCTACTGAGCCTCATGTTACGCTTGAGACGTCAAGAGTAAACTTTCCGCCGACGATTGTTGGGCGTACCAGTGAAGAAAAAGTACTACTACACAACAGAGAATCCATTCCTATTTCTTTTCAGTTTGACAGGTGAGCGACCCGTTCTCGTGGCAAAATGCTTTATATCTAATGGACACACAGCGGCAACGCTCATAGTAATATCTACTTTGCCGGGGGAAGTCATCAACCCTTGCAGCAAATGAACAACCCACAGCCATACGGAGGATAACATTTATTTTACCTAACCAACAGGCTAATCTACAAAGGATGCATTTGCACTTCCCGTGCAAAGTGGGCTAGGTCATAGTAGTAGCGGTTTGCCACGCAGTCACCGCAGGGCGGAATCCAAGTTCCCCAATGCCATTCTACTTGTGCATGCTACTAGACCCAACTGGACAATAAAATGCCAGAATTTCTCTACTCAAGAGCATATGTACATCTGCAGTGTAATATAATGGCAAATGACCCGATAAGCCAATTACTTCTTGTGATTGCTTTCTTCTGCCTCCATGCGCAGAACGCAGCTACAAGCTGCGGGTACAGAACTGAAAATTGCTCCGCTGAGCGGCAACTTAGCTCCACAATGCGCCGTTCCAATACGGATTCAGATGACCCCATCGGAACAGAAGAACATAAGTGTCAGTATTCCCTGCAGAATCAAACAAAAATTCCGAAATCTCAGGCTAGACATCAAAGGAGAGGGGTATTACCTCATGCCTTCGTTAAAACTCGTCGAGGAAGGTATGCTGGACGAGCTTTCATCCGTATCGCTTGTATTGCTCAACCATATACCTACAAAAAATTCGTTCTACCCGGCGAGCTAACGTGCTGTGGTATGAGGATTGACTATATGCAGAAAAGTTTGCTGTCCTTTTCAGAGGCTGAACGCACCTTGGAGGGTGAGTCAGAAAGCTTCGACTTTGGCTGCGTACTAGTTGGACAGAGTAAGCAGATCATGCTGAAGTTAGGCAACAACGGCAAGTATGACTTCAGCTTCAGGTGGATAACAAAAAGCCCAAAAGATTACGGCGGTGCGGGTAGCATAACTATTCAACCAACTGAGGGTAGGCGACGGGACTGAATTAAGGGCTCGGTGATCTTAAGCATTTTGTTAGCGTATTGGAGTTCCTATAAATAAAGGCGTCAATTAGTTTGCATCGACACATTGATCAAGTTGTTCGGCAGGTACTTCTACTTGCAGCCAATCAACGCAACCATAATGTCGTAATTTCGCAATTCCTGCCTGTTTTATCCACGCGTCTACCACATGCCACTTAACTGTTTTGCCATAATAGCGCAAAGTGTATGTTTTAGCGAAAAATTGTGCATGGTAAGAGTTTGTAAGGAATCACTCAGCATGCTTCCACCTCCCAGCAGCTCCACCAGTATCGCGCCCTTGGTTTGCTCACGGATAAACTGCCATGCCAAACGTATGCAATTTCTCCAGCAAAATTCGTCCCACAACGTGAACATCTGCCAAGCAATATATCTAGGTTTTTCCGTGTCATATACTAATAGATATACCAGTATGCACCTCCTCTTCAAACTGCAACGCTTCGATCTGTCAGGATATGTTCCCAAGGGACAAGTTTTCAACTGCATCGCCGCTTTTGCGCCAATCGCATCAACAAACGTGCAATCGTTGCAAGCAACCTGCGAGGTTCAAGGGAAGACCGTATGCAAACTGCTGTTCACGGGTTCATGTACAACCCCAAAGGTGTCCTTCTCCTTTACAACCCACGACTTTGGAGCACTCTTCGTACCGCACGCCTCAGATATGCCTTTTGACGATTTGTCCGTCAAACCTCGCACATCCTCTCAAGCTATGTTAAAGATCACAAATTCTGATGCCCAGCATCAATGCTCCATCTCATCCCCATACTCTCCAACAGAAGGCTTCGATTTTCAGCCACTGCAAGTCAACTTGTCTCCTGAAGAGGTGTTGGAAATTCCAGTTACCTTCAGTCCTAGGGAGACAAAACTTTACAGGGCAAAAATCCCCTTCTTTGTCAACGACCAACTGGCTGCTACTATTCAACTGTCTGGTAAAGGGATACCAGTAAGGTGAATTTCCTTTATTCTCTTTTCCCTGAAATAGCCGAGCCGTCAAACAATTTGGAAAAATTGTAGTATGAACCATCCATGTAGCTCCACCGATTAACAAGGTGACATACTATCACTGGAAACACACACATGCCGTGGGACACTCGTTCCTTGTCTTTTCCCAGAGTCGAAGTACAAGGTACTGACAACGGAATTGTTAGGCTCCCACCAGTCCTGCGCGGCAAGGGCTCATGCCAGTCAATTCGTATTATTAATCACTCCGAGAAGGCAGTGTCATTTTATCTAAAGAGCCCAGACGGGGAGCTCGGGTAACGTGATATCTTGGTTAAAGCGGTCGGTTGCTTCTATTCCATAGTACGATGCATTTCCCATACTGCGTTGGAACTACGAGGGCTAGTGCCTGATTGTGGTGTTTCTGTCGATGCCCAGCGCCAAGGGAGTTAGTTGGCGTCCCGCATCGTCGTCGTCTTCAATGATTAGATTGCCGCCCAAGCAGAGCATTGGGACTGAAATACACTACAGTCCCACTGCACCATGCCAAGAATTCCAGCTACCTTTGGTAGCAGAGTGCTTTGATGAGAGTATTCATGGCCCTCAGGCACTTTCCGTTTTCCTGTGCAAGATTTCGGGGAAATGCTTTGAAACTGAGGTTAGGTGAAGCTTTAACTCTGGCATGCGATTTCACCAAAAGTACTCAGTTTGGTGGGAATGGCTCGAAATAATTTCTGCCCATGGTCAATGTTTTGCTAAGAGTCAGCGGCAGACGGCGCACATAGTAGCATGGCTGCAGGTAAAATACACTGCTGTTGGCCGATGGTTACTGTAAATGGGAATACTCTGTAGTTGGGCTCACTTTCTGCCTTCGCTGCAGCTTCGGCTGCGACCTCCCTCAGTGGCGTTCGGTCAGGTCGTTGTTGGCTCGTGGATGTCACAAGACGTGCTGCTCTCCAACATTGGGGAACTGCCCATGGCTTTCCGCTTCTCTAATTCGGAGGCACACCCGGGTTTGATTTCAATCAGCCCTTCGCACGGGACATTGCAGCCTCGAGCGAATCAACAAGTCACAGTAACATTCCGTCCCACCAAGGTAACAAATCATTTCCCTCTCAAAGCTATTCATATAGAATGTAGGTGCAGTGGTAAATGCATTTCACAGCTTTCCAGTGGTCTGGCAATTACTAGGTAGTCATCGTCGTAGTGCCGCCGAACAGTCAATATGCACATGCATTTGACCCCGTAGTGGTTCGGTTGTTCCTGCAGCAGACAGAACAGTTGGAAATAGAAGACATCATATGTTTTGGGCATGCACTTTGTGGTCCAAAAGACACACATACAGAGGTGGCGCGGCTGAACTTCACTGTGACCGGTCAAAGCGTTCCATTGCCTGCCGATGCACTACATGTACTTAAGTTCGCCACCAGCGTGCGTACTCCAGTTACGAAGACGTTTTCCTTAAAAAACCCGAAAAAGGTAGAGTGGACGACGACTCCACACATATCTATTGAATCTCCAAAAGATGGCAACTACTTCTCATGCCAGCCTACTGGGCCCATCACAATCCCTCCTCAACAAAAGGTGGCCCTTCAGCTTACTTATCATCCAATGACCATGACCCTCGAAGCCGGAAGTCAAGAGCAAACCAATGCAAAAGGACAACGCCGAACACTCCCCTCACAGCACACAGCCACACTCTTCTGTGCACTTCCAGCTGGCGAAGCCTGTTGCATAAGGTGATTTTCCCTGTCGACATAGCAGCGCAACTACATTGTGCCTTTAAAACGAAAAGTTATGAGAGCTGTACCCGAGCGAGAACGGAAGCTGGCACGGACACGCAGGTGCCTGACTATGCCTGAACTCGTCAAAGCAGACTGAAGCTCAATGGCTTGGTAGCCATGGAGTTTCTCCTTGCGTTTTGCTACCTGCAACTAGAGGATGGTCCTCCTGCGTTCCTTAAGCGAATTTGCTGTAATACGATGCACACAACCAAGCCTGTCTGTCAATGTCTCTCAGGATGATTGGTACGGCGTCGGAACCGACTGTGGAGCAAACAGTCGAGACAGTTGCCACCTGCAAGCAACAGACTACTATCAATATCAAAATTAGTAATTGGCTGGATATACGGCAAGCATTCAACGCTACTTTTACAATCCTGCAGCCTTCCGGAGGACAGGGCATACACATCCAGGTGGGCAGTTTATGGCACAGTAACCTGTCAGTGCAGCATGCATATATTTACATTATATCATCCCCAACTCCATTCCTCTCGTCACGAGCAAACCTCGCGCAGAATCTACCAGATGTGTTGTCTCCTCAATACCGTTCCACAACCAATTCAGCATCTGCGGTCAGTGGTACGTCTGCTGAACACACCCGTTCATGTAGGCACCTTCCTTCATCGACATTGCTGGAAATCAGACCCGAGAATACAGGTTTACCGCCTTCGCATTAAAGCCTTGCAACGCCAGTATCCGCTTCCAGTTTACGAATCCATCGACGGGAGACTTTACACTCGCGGAGGTCAAGATTCAATTCAACGAAGGCGGGTGGATGGACACCATATTTTTTGAAGGGAATACTCGGCAGCTCCTCCGTCATAGGTTGGAGATTGAAAATATCTCAAATAAACGTGCAAGCCTTCAGTGCACGTCGGCGCACCAGGAAATATCCTTTAGTCCTCAACCCTTCATCATTGCCCCGCAGTCAAGCGGAGTAGTAGATGTTTTAATGCGCGCGACCGCACCAGGATGTGGAGAGACAAGCGTGGTGTTGACCAGCGATGAGTTGGGCTTGTTTAAATACCTCGTGAAATATAATATGCGAAGCCCAGGTATAGAGAAAAGGATTACATGCTCGGCACCCCTTGGGAGAGATATCCAACAGTGTGTTCGCTTCATGCATTTTGGAAAGAAAGCAACGACTTATCAACTGAGTTTGGAATGGCCAACAGATTCTATACCTCCTCAAAAAACATCTGCTCTATCTGAAATCTTCTCTCTAGAGAGCAAGGCAGTACAAGTCCCAGCCGATATCGATGGCCAAGGGATCGAGATGTGCATTCCCATAAAATTTGTCCCTTCTCGGATGCAAGACACTAAGGCAATCCTGTGTGCCCGTGGGCCAGAGGGGCAAGAATACAGAGTACGGCGCTGTGCATGCAGCTCAGAATGAATGGCCAACGGAAAATACTTAAGATTTCCATTTGTTCGTTAAATCTCTAGCTTTGCTTCATATTCAAAGGTGTCTGGCTGGATCAGATTTCGTGTGAACCTGCGCAGGCCCTTCTTGTTGGACGCACCACGCCTCCAGAGGCCCAAGGGCCTATGAAGGTACCAAAGGGTAAAGGTCTTGTCCTTGAATTCAAAAACCCCATGGAGACAGCTAGTGATTTCACAGCACAGGTGTGTGAAGTCATACGTTTTCTTTTGGCGATGTTCGCAGCACGTGGGTTTTGCGAAGTTGCCTTGATCGGCGTTGGGCTCACCAAGGTCTTAGGATGAATCACTTAATTTGTCTGGCCAGTGTTGTATGCATTTTCCTTCCTTCTGTACTGCAGGTTGACCAGGCTGCCTTTGCTCTAGATAAGAAGACGTTCCGCCTTGAACCACGAAAATCCACGACTATCACTGTTTCACTTAAAACTGAAGCACGCGCCACAGGTAAGTTCATGCAGTCTCCAGTTGCCGGCGATATCTTAACGGCCAGCGCAAGTCCTCTCTGAGTGTCAGGCACGGCACGCATGGCTCCCTAGGCTGTGTACAGCAGTATTGTATTCGTTGGGCCATCTCACTGTTTTGGCTTTTCAGGGCGGCTCATCATCAGCGCTGAAGCTGCGCCAAAGTGGATTATTTACCTGAAAACTGACTGACCCACTACATCCCAGTGAGTTGTTCATTCGTCTATTCTGTCTCCATCCTGCCTCCTACTAGAACGGGAGGAACAGTAGGACTCAATAGTAAATGAAGGTCTTACAACAAGCACACCCATGCACACGCATGCGTTGACCAATGCGTGATAGGCGGCATGAGTTTTTAAGGTATCTTTGCGGACACGCGGATTTATCACTGTTAGAGCCATATATCCTCATTTGCACGATCCTCCGAACTCTGAATTGTTTACGCAAAAGGTTGTGAACTCACTACCCTTTTGCCAACCAATTCAGAGGTGGCAAACATTTTCATGTTTTTGCATTATCCTGAAACAACTGGTTAGTGAATCGCCTGATTGACGAAACTATATGCGTATAGCGTCTGAAATTGTTCCCACCTGGCCGCGTGTTCGCTATGTTGGAACCCTGCAAAATGGGGCCTGCTATGATGGTGCAAGGCTGTAAAGCTCGTGAATACATAGGCCAGCAAGTTTCTCGGAGACACACTGAAGTATGCACTAGTATCTGAGCACTAGATATACGAAGTTGGCAACACTCCTCAAGCAGAGCAGGGAGCATCCGCTGTCGCCGCCCGCCACTACAGAAATTACAAATTCTACCAGACACGCCCGGCGATGAAGCCGGTTAAGACTAAAAGGGGTCGATAAAGTATGTTGCCTTGGTCAGAACCATCCTAGCTATGCCTGACGTTTCAGTCAGCCAGCGCCTGAAGGAGCCGAAGAGAAGCGCATACCTTTTTGGCTCGCACACGCTCTTGGCTCGTTCACGTCCTCCCACAAGGTGTTCACCGTAATGCTCCCCGCAGTGTCATTGCGAAGCTGATGACGCATGGGTATTTGCAGTCTTAAAGAAGACCACCGGAAAAATTCGAAAATACAACATGTAGTCTATGGAAATGCTGCCATCACCAGCAAGGCTACGGGTCAAAATTCGCTCAAAGCTGTGTGCTGTTGCATTGGGTCATCCACCTTTTGTGGTGCCAATGCAAACATAAACACAAATAATGCTCGTGTGGTCACACAGTGCTGCTTGACGATACAAAGGCAATGAAAGATCGATGTTAAGCCAACAGGATGTATTCCACTGAACAAACGCACTTGCGACAAGTACGCGTTACTCCACCACACCGTCACACAACAATACCGGAACGAAGTATGCCCTTCCTCACAATATACTTCCGAGGTCAGCTCGTTCGTAGCACCGTCGGCTCCTGCATTATCTTCTGAACAGGCGACCTCATTGGCAGGTACAGCCGTCGAGCTCCGCTTGCTCTACCGTAATTCAGAATCAACATGACTGACTGTGCCCGTCGCAATTTGTCCCGCTGGTAGGGGATCAGTGGGAGCTGGAAACGGGAGAGGTGTGTCAGCTTCGGGTTCTGGGGGCTCTTCAGCCTCCCTCGATGGGGAAGGAAAAGCAATGGTCACGCTGTCTGACAGGGTTGGAACCACCTCCGGAAAACCGGAGGCCGTTGAAGGGGCCTTTGCCTCGGCTGTGGGCAGCTTCTCAAACAGAACGGTGAGATTTTCAAATCGATCGTCGTCCCCCATAGCGGCAACTCTCACGGAGTTCACTTCACAAGGACTATCGCCGGCAGATGCCATCAGCGCAGCAATTGCACCGTCCACTCCACCCCCTACATCTTGGTCAGCTGACCACGCGACTGGGTCTGTGTACACCCGAAATGACGTCTGTTCCATTACTTGCCTGAAATGAGTCGGCCGAAGCTCGTAGACTAACGAAATGTCAAACCCCCCCGGTGCCGGTGACATTCTATACGTGAAGGCCGTTCCTGTGTGGGAGACTGAATGGTAAGGCAAGGTTAAGCTTGTTGTGCGTGTTTCTCCAGCCTGCGACACCAAGGTAGCTGAAGCAACATGTAAAGAATGGGCCACGTACTGCCCAAACCAACAATCTTAGTTGTGTAACATACGCAGTACAAGCCACCTGCCAGCCACCAGCATTCGCTCACAGCTCTTCGACAAGACAGAGGTAGATGTTCAGCAGCAGCCACGAGAGGCACTTGCGCAACAAATAAAACGAAGGCCATTCACGCAGAGTGTAGAGTTAACTATATCGTATGCACAGACAAACTATTGGTCGGACGCACCTTGCTGTAAGTCTTTACATCGAACGTCCTGTTCAATGCGTTGAGCTCCGCCGTTAGGCAAGGCGCTGCACTGATGGTAAAATGCATGGGGGCACGGGTAGCAGATACCCGAGCAGAGCCAGCCGAAACATAACTCTGAAGTAAGAACATCATATCTAAAGGAATGCACATCCCGGTGTTTGCGTCCAGCGAGTAACCCGGAGCACATAAACAACGGTGCGCCAAAGCACCCTGGATGCATTCCATAACCGCCTTTGATTTTCCACAGATGGAAGGATCCGAGCACTCAACAGCATCGCAAGCCTTCATCACAGGGGTCGTCTCGTTTCCGACGGTTTTGAAATTCGAAACGCATTGACAAGAGAAAGCCTCAGATCCGTCGGAAACGCAAAGTGCATCGGGTCCGAAAGCTTTGCAGGTGTCAACCTTGCATGCAGGAAGAGAAACGCACTTCCCCGTTTTCGTGTGCAGTGCGTACCCCGCCTTGCATTTGCAAATTTGTTTTCCCGAGTCTTTGTCTACCAGACACGCATCTACTGCTTCCGTTGTTCCGCAGTCACTGATCGAGCAGCTGGTGGTGGAAAGTTCGCACATCTCGCGATTTCGGTTGTAGCGCCATCCTGGAAGGCATTCCGGCAGACACTCTTTGGACGCGTTCATTTGAAATCCGCTGGAGCATGTATATGCTCGTTTATTACCTAGTTTGAGGCATGCATTCACGCCTTCTTGCCAACCACAGGCAGGTGAATAGCACTCGTTTTCTACACACTTTCGTAAATTCGCATCCCATTTAAAACCTTCTTTACAGGCGCAGATCCTGCCGCCAAGCCCCATGGAGCAAGACTTCGCATCGTGTGCCTCAGCCGGCCCGCAGAGAGCTGCTTCTTCTTCTGTGCACTTCTGCTGGCACTTGTTGTCTCGCGCATTCAATACGTACCCGTTACGGCACGTGCAAATAAACTTTCCAGTTATTGGGTGTTCCCGGCAAGTATTTACTCCCTCAACGGGGCCGCATGGGGCCTCTCTAGCACACCTATCGAAAGGAGCCGGCACGCATTTGTTCGTCCCGGCATTAAAGACATAGTTCATCTCACACACGCACGTGGCCTCGTACTTCGTCTGATTCAGTGGAGTCGTCACCACCTTAGATGGGTAGCAAAACTTCACGGCATCTGCAGGGCCGCAGGCTCCGTCCGCGCAGACATCTGAGGCACACCCTCGCAATGGTAGCAGCCACTAGCACAGAGCGCAGCTTCAAAGCCTACTGGCAGCGATAAACTAGGCAGCTAAACACGAAATACGCAGACGCCGTACCCTGAACACGGCAATGAATCATCACTTGGCGGAGTAGCACCGCTATACAGAGGCTCAAGACTCAGAACAGAACGGACTATGGGACCGGTAATGAAAAGGCGCATATGCCGCTATATTGAATGAGCCATCTGTGGTCTGACAAACTGTGGAGTCTAACAAGCTGTGGAGTTGGACTGAACAATCCCAAGATCTGAAAGGCAAACTGGTTGCTCCACTGTAGGAAAGCTAAACAATAAAACTGACCCGCAACACACTTCTGCCGGCGTTGGTCTGCAACGAAGGAGGACTGACAGACGCAGGCAGCCCCTGACATACGCCCGCTAAGAGAAAGCTCAACGCAATGAGAAGCTCCGTCTAAAGCAGAGCACATGTCCCCGAATTTTTCGCAGCCTGCAGCACAACATCGAAGTCGAGACATATTCACACGCTCTACAGGCCTCCAGTTCGTACTAAACAAGACAGAATATGAAGCAAGCCAGCTGCAGGAAGCCGGGCTGTCAGGTTTATCCCCTGGTACTACCTACCCCAGCACCTGCTGGGGGTAGGCGGAGGAAAGCGACACGACTCAAAAATGGCGTGTGCTCACTGCAAGAATCTGGAACTTGCGGAAAGGAGCTGCTGCAGGGCTCTTTCTTGCACACTAGAGGACTGCTGGTACTTGTATCAGGACAGCAGAGGCCATCCCCGCAGTACGCTCCGGCAGCGTTTAGAGCGGGTTCCCTCCGGCTGCCGCACGCCACGCCCTCAATCCCCTTAAGACAAAGCCAAAATGCTTGGCCTTTGTGGATCAGAGTCACGTCATCGCCGTTTTCTGACGGCGCAGCGACACCGAACAAAACCGAGGAAACGGCGAGGACCACACACGCTGCCAGACAGCCCTGAGGGTTCCTCATACTCAAGGTGCAACGGCAAAATTAAGATTTAAAATGACCTGGTTGCTCCTAGCTAGGGTCATGCCCACACCTCATCGCAGCCAACGGGCCCCTCTTGGCGCGGTGCTGATTTCTGGCGGGATAGCTTAATTACAGTGATATAATGCCAGCACTCCAGGGGCACTTGGAAAAGCAACGAGCAGAACCGGCAGTAGGTCCCGCTAATAGAGGAGCGGAGCCAACCGCTGAAGTAATACAAACAGCTGCATCAGCGTAGAGTAGAGGGCCAGCAGTATTCCAGAGTCAATCAAGCCTCAAGGCCATCTAAATGTGGATCTCCGGCTTGATACTCCTTTGCATGTTAGCGTAATCTAACTGAACGCGCTTGAGACTGGGAAATTACGACGCTGGTGGACAAATGGCACCCGCGGGATTTGGAGGACACGCGGAGACAACAGACTGCCAGGCGCGTGCATATTCCTAGTTTCTTTTAGACAGATTATACATTTTAAATGACATAGGAACTCTGAGGAATCGGGTAAGATGAGCTAATGAAGAGAGAGTACACAAACCGAGTCGCCGTTGGGGCCCTCTAGACCGGACCGCTGCTGCATCCCTTGCGCTATCACGATCACTGTGAGTGATCTTCGCTGCTTCTTTCTACTTTCCAATAGTAGTGAAACTAATGTGTATTAGAGGCAAATGACTTGGAGAAGGTGAGGGTTGGAGACTGATTTTCGGGACAGCACGCTGCTGAACAAGACAGTTGCAAGAGGGTAAGAGGCCACCAAGAAGAGGCCCCTCATCACACTGGGGGCGTCACAAGTAATTTGCTACACCAGCTCTTCAGAAATGTTTTCTCAGCTCGCTCTTAACCAGAAGACATCTGCCTGCATGAAGTTGCGGCGAGCCCTTCACGACGAAGGCGTGACAGCGGCATTAGGAGCATCTGTTGGTTGATTGCCAAAGTGAGGGGCAGCGTGAAAAGGGCGCTGTAGTTATCCCCTTTTGCTGTTTAAGGTACAGAGTGGAGCACTGCCACAGGTGCTCGGGGGGAGAAGGCAGGCAGGGGAGTTGCTCTGCCTAGCCGGGCACATTAAAGCAATCCCGGTTGATGTCGGGGTTCCGCAGTTGCATTTACTAGCCACAAACGATCGGTGGCTCATTTCTCCGTTATTGGTTTGACACGCTATGCTATGCTGTAGGAGATACTGTTGCAAACCAAAGTATCAAGTGCCCAGTGCCCAGGATTCACAGTCGACGCAGACCGGCATCTAGGGTATAGTGCAGACGAGTGTTCCACCTATCTGTGAGCATTGACCTTGATAAGCGCCTCAGAAGCGGAAGTTAGTCGTGGTTTAGAGGGCGTTCACCAGCTGTGCAAATGCAGGGTGCTGAATCACCCTCATGTTGTGCGCTATAGACCAGCGGCGCCCTTGTGCCTCCAATTGCTTGGAGTCGGCAATGCTGACGGGGTGGAAGATGCAGGTCTATTACTGTTGGTGCTGTTTCTTTGGTGCATGCCTGCTTCTAATGGTGCTAGCGATTTCATTGCTAAAATCTAAGGGACAGCTCCATCCCAAACGGCAGACACTAACTGCCCCGGTCCCCGTAACCTTCGCCCCCACAAAAGTGAAGTGCAGAAGCAAAGCGCAGCTGATCAGGTGATAGCTTAACTTACAGCAAAGGCTAGGTAGACATTCTGATGGATAGCTCCCCTGCAAATCTACCCTGCAAATCTCACTGCCCATGCTGAATGCCTCGCATAGCTGGACGGTCCAACGCAACACCTAAGGCCTCAGGCAAATCGCAAACACTGTGTAAGAACTAAAATGAAGTATCGACAGCAGGGCGACAGTGTTGTTCCTGCCTGCCTTCAGGCTTTTCGAGCCCAAGCCTGACGGGTTTTCGTACAGCCTGCCCAATATAGCTATTGAACTACAAGGCATTAGGGAACCGAAATCAAAGGCCAGCTGCAGGTATACTAGCCCTGAAAGAGAACGAGTCTGAAATAGGGGGGGTTCGTGGTTCCTACTTAGACAGACAACTCATTGGGGACTCCACAGGAAACAGAAGAGTTTGGGGTTGGTCCACATGGAAGTTCAAGTATAAATGCGCTCGCGTGTCTATGTCTCAACAGCTCGAGGGATCCGGAGAATACCCCAGAGATGCGTCTTCTTTGAAGGGGCTGTTCTGCATGATAGATATCCCAAGGCACTCACATCTGCCACACGCATGCAAGAACCCGAGCAGGAAAGGGATACACGCATTCGCAAGAAGGCCGCGAAGACACACGTAAAATCTAATTGGAGTGTCAGAACGGCAATCAGTCGGGCGAAGGGTAGTGTCCCCTCTAAACCGCACGGGCGCCGGAGTATTAATTCACCAATAAGGACACAAAGGAAAATCCATATGTCCATAAAACCGCAGAGCAACTGTCGCTGCTGACTGACGCCCCGAACAAGCCCCATAAGAGCCCGTCTCATAGAGGCGCCGCCCAATCTATGGTGCTTTAAGAAGGCCAAGCGGCCCATGAATAACGCTGCCAGCACTGCGAGGAGCACAGGAAAACTAATGGACGACCTCTAACACACAAACTTCCCGGCGTCCTGAGCCGGTGTCCCTGCGCTCCTATAAGAGCTGCGGGGACCCAGGCCCCCACCCCCACCCCAAAAGCTTTACGCCTCTTGATATGCAAAGGAGAGCGGAATGCCACAGAAGCCACAGAAAAGACAAAAAACACTAAGGAAACTCCTGCTGCAGGAGCTGCTCCAGGGGTTTGGTATTCCTCCTTAACCAGGCGAGGACCTCCTCGCTGGTGACAGAAACCGCCTTGGGCAAAGGTGGGCAAAAGGGAGCCTTCTTTTCCTTAGCAGCCAGCCGAGATGATATGCGCGAATAAACATCTCCATGATAAGCGTCAAGCCAGGCTACCTCCTGAAAGACACCAACCCACAAAACGACGTCGTTTAGGAGCTGGTCCTGGCTGAACAGACCGACACTTTGGATGGTTTGACCCCTCGCTGACGAAGCGCGAAGCATAGGTATATGGATGGTTTAGGGTGCCCTGCCGGCCTGCATATGTGCTCGGGAGAGGCAGCCTAGCTACGAGAACAAGTTAGCTAGCTACAGTGCCAACTAGAACAATAGAGTTAATATCAAATCTGTTGTCCTAGCCAACCTGAGGAGAGAGAAGCGAAGCTTCTATGAGTCTGGCCTGAATAGGCACCAGAGTAAGAGACTCGAACTGTAGAAACCGACGACCCCGATAAATGAGGTCGCTCCTACAAGTAGCAACAACGCTCACAATATAAACAGCGAAGAAAGTGAAGGACGCCCACGCCAGCGCAGGTGTGGCACGTCCTGCATCCAAGGGTGCAAGCTACGGAACCTCTCGCGGTAAGTTAGCCATTCAGTAACAACCACGATGCAGCGCCACCAGCCATTCGACAGAACGTGCAGTGTTACCAGGTGACTCTTACGCAGTAGCGTGCGTTCCTTAGATTAGGGAGGCGAAATCACGTGGAGACAATCAGGGAAGAAAATACGAGCCAGCATGCAGAAGTGGGTGTGGATACGGTGGAAAGAAGCAGGAATGTATACTGTTGTATACCCTGGAAATGTGTTTGTAACTTACGGCTTCACCGCCGCCAGGTTCTCGATGCGAATTCCAAATGCCCCATCCTTATAGAAGCCTGGCTCTATGGAAAGGACAGCACCAGGGCGCACTTCGTGCAGGGAGGCCACCCCCTACACCACAGCGACCAAAAGCAGAAGAAAAATACTCTCGGTAAGCACGGCGGGCCAAAAGGAGAACGGGTAACAAGGCGTACACGTAAACTAACCCGCTTCTCCGCATGGGAAATCTGGGAACTAGCAGTACTAGTTGGTGGGAAGAAAGTCTCGGAGCAATGGCAACAAGACAGCTTCTCCTCACCGTCAAGCGGGGAGATATGCCAATGGGGCCCTCGTGCACATTTAAGAAGTGCCCAACGCCGTGGCCAGTCCCTGCAATGGAAAAGGAAATAGCATCAAATAAATTTCGATCGCCTTCTGCTATTTCCGATTTTTCCACCGTCCGTCTTGGTAATTTCACAGCTATGCACTCGTCCAGACGTTTGTCAATACATGACTATCTTCCTGCGCATATGCTTGTACATATGCGCCTCACAATCAGCTCCCCCCTACGTGTTTCTGTTTCGTTTAGCCATATCGCTGTCTCCATATCTGTCGGCCCTGCTGCGTTGGTCTCTACTTATGCCCTGCTCTTCCCGATCTTAAAGCAGCTTCTGGTACGATGTGCAATGCATGCAGGTTTCTGAGTTCTGTGGATGTTGCACCGACCGTGAAGGTAGTCTAGGCCTTTATTCCAGAGGTGCTGCCGCGCCAGTGCATCAATCTGAGGCCCCCTGGAGCCCTCAGGAAACTTCTGTGCGCTCAGCCCAATCATTCCCTGTTGACAAACCAACACTGACCCTCTGCTAGTCTCAGGGTTGTACGCATACCAGACAAGAAATCCGAAGCACAATCTGAAATGAAAAACGATACGCCTACCCAGTCCCTAAAAGGCAAGATGTGTCTACGTCGTACTTGGCATTCACGCGATCCAAACGCCTCACCTTGAGCACAAGGGTGTAAGCTTCTTTTTGCTCCTCGGTGGGCTGGCCCAAATGCAGCGTGCGAGTTACATCTGTTGTACCCATCAGGTACTGTCCCCCAGAGTCCAGTAGGAACACTGGGGTTTCCTCTTGAGCCAGAACTCCCCCACCAGGGCCTCTAACTGTAACACACAGCCCATCTCCAGGCTCAGATAATGACGCCTTGAGCTGTAGACTCGTCTTCGGGTCCGGCCTGGAAAATACAGAACAAGAAATAATGGTAAGGCATACAGCTGCTGCAGCTGCCTCTGCTGCTATACCTAGTACTCTCGGGACACCTCAGATATCCGTCCCAGTTGATAGCCGGTCTCGGGTACAAAAGCACATTAGTCGATGCTCGGAAAGACGGGCACACGATGGCAAGCACGAGCACGGCACAAGAGGTTTCATTGCCGCCATCTTCTGGCTGTGCGCCTACCTGTAATGCGCTAAGGCGCAGTTGGAGCCGAAACAAGATATTGATGTGAAGGAAGTCCCCCTAAACAACGAACACTTTAAGGCAAACCAACGGACGCAGAAAGAAAACTAAACTTCTTCCTTGATAGGCGACATGGACTGCGAGGGAAGCGACGGGAGCTCACTGCTTCCTCCTCCTCGTGGAGCTGCTGTTGTATCTGCTCTAGCAGGCGCTTCTGCTGCTAATTCAGCCACTTGAGCTAAGGGCAGTTTGATGTATGGGCTTTGCGCGCAGCTTACGGTAGCTTCTCTCGCCGCGTCTACCGCTTCCTTGAGAGTAAACTCTGTCAGGATGCATTCCCCTTCGCCGGGTAGCGGTTCCTGTTGCTGTGTTGCTGCTGCTCTGGCGTTGGCGAGTAGCTGCTTTTCAAACCAGCAGAAGAAGGTGGCCAAAGCAACCCCATCCTCCTCGTGCGCCTCTACCATTCCTTTAAGTTCTCTTTCGCCTTTACAAGCCTGAACACGTACAACAAGGGGCATTTCGACACTGCCAGACGCGTATTGGAGAATGATGGGCAAGCAAGTCCTGTGTGCCTACGGCGCTCCACAAATAGGCGCCAAACATTCCCAACTTGCTAATCTTGCTATATTTGCAGTAGGAATCCGTGCCGCTCCCCGTTTCGCAAGTCCCGGCGCCGGTGTAGTTGATGGGCTGTACACACGGTCAATTTCTGCACGGCAGAACATGTGGGTTTCTGGAGTCTATGTGAAGTGCAAACCTTGGCGACGGCGACAGGCGTGTCCTTGACAATGAGGCGTCTTGACTCGGCCACAATGCGGTGGATGGCCACGTTGATCTTGGGGTCCAGCCATGCGGCTTGTTGTGTCTCCACGGCTTCCTGCCTCGTCAGCTTAGGGCTTGGCTCCTGCAGATGAGAGTCGCCGCCCGACAGCAGGCTGTCAACGGCAGCCACTAGGCCCGCTGGTCTCTGCTGCTGAAGGTCCTGCTGCTGCCTCCCGTCTTCCTTTTTTTGCTCTCTTTGGTGGTGGCTACGCGCCTCCCAGTTAAGCAGGAGTTGCAGATCACTGGAGACCTCCTCATATGGCCTTAGGATGGCGCCCTCTTTCTCCAACTCAGCCTTGGCTTCTGTCGACACCCTACTGGGGTCTGTGTACAGCCTAAACAAGAAAGACAGGCATAAAGAGGCACTGGAATTGATGAAGGGTACAGGCTTAACGGGTTCAAACAGCCAATCAGGTGCAGATATATTGCTTCGCCGCAGCAGAGAGGGCAGTTAGAGTGCACTGCGGAATTCTTGGGCAATAATCGCTCACAACAAACGCCAGGGCCAGGCGTTCCCTTTCTGGGTTCCCCTAGAGGTTTCCAAAGGGCCTCTGACCAACAAGGCGTAGGAATAAAACAATGGGCTGTTTGGCGGATCCGATCCCCGCAAGTTCGTCAGCCAGGCCACCTCGTCCAAACTCTACAGCGACACAAGCAACAAGCTACACCTCCAAAATTTAGCGTTCGCAAGTTCACAGTGAATGCTGCATTGATATTTTCCAGGGTTCATGCATCTAGATTAGCAACAAACCATGGACAATGGCCGCAAACCTTCCTTCTTCGTCCAGCCAGGCCTAAACCCCTAAGCCACAACGCTGAACCCTGAGCCCTCGGGTTAATTACCGAAAGCAGCAGAATGTCAACGCCTTCCTTAGCCATTGCTTCCAGCGTTCTCGCCACCTTCTCCCGCGTGGACAGACCTTGAAGGCAACAAGAACCCTCAGTTTTGCCCACTAGATTCAATCAATAGGTCCTACTTGCTTAACGTTGACGAGGCCCCAGCTGTATCTTGCTGAGTGGTGATGATTGCTCTGCTGCTGCTGCTTGTCGTCTCTTTAAGCCTAGAGGGCTATTTTGTTTCCCTGGATCAGTCTGCTTCTGTAGGGCCCTGCTCACCCCGATATTCCTCTGGATGTACGTACACCGTACTGTTCGGGTAAGAGGGTTTTTGAGGACCCCACACCTCGTCAACGAGGTTCCTATCTAGGGGCACGACTTGTCTCCCAGCGCCGCCTTGCGTTTCCTGTGGAGAAGAACACAATGTAGGCCTTTTAACTTGCGTTTCGCTGTTGGGCTCAGAGCAAGGGTTCTCCCCGGATTCCGTGTGTAGTATCTCCAGTTACCTGCTGAGTTGTACAGTCCCCCCGTGCGAGGCTGAAGCCCGCATCTCTTATCTGATTGAGAAGACCCAAAGAGGTGGAGAAACCGTCAATACCCAGTCGCCGGACTGCAGCATAGACAACGCCCAAAACTTGCGCACTTTCGGCTGCATGCATCTCTTAGCGGGAGCTCCGCCGAGCTGAAGCTAACTGTGGAAATGATTGAAGGCGAAAAACCTCTGCATCCAATCAAGACTAAAAGAGAGTGCTCCGTATGAAACATGTTTGAGCCGGGAATTGCAGCGGACAGCGGTGAGAGGGCCCCTGCGATGGGGTCATTCGCTAGTCCGCCTCAGGTGACAGTTTGTCCACCCTGACTTTGAGGATTTTGTTTGAGGAACTGAGATAGGGTCGGCGTGTTTCCGAAGTCCGATTTCATTAGCTGCCACAAACCCTCTGGCAGCTGCTGCTCTGCCTGAGCGAAGTACCTGAAAATATAATACAACGCAACAAGCTGTACACTCAACATGAACAGGCGATGCGTATCTGAAGGTTCGTGCATAGGCGTCTACGTGCATTGGCCCGCCATTTTGATGCCTTACAGGCGCATCAAGGTACACACATCATAGGTATAAGGTTATCTATGTAAGCCATTAATGCACGTATATGTACCGTATGCACCCGATATTTGGCCTCGCTGCGCACTCATAACGATGGATAAATATCAGTGCATTGTCACTCTTTGCTGCCTCTCCCTGCCTCAAGCATTATCTGTCTGCTGCTGCTAGAAACAGTGTGTGCATCTCTTTCAAAGCAGACCGGCCATGGGTGTTACAATGGGCATGCATGCACGCATGCCTGTTGGGGACGAAACCACCAGAAGAACAGGGGCTTTCAGAGGCTCAGTGAAGGACGGAAAGAGGCACAGGTAGCAAGAAACGCACGGGGGCGAATAGACAGATATTGGTGAACAGAAAAAGAGCCAGGCAAGCAGGAGCCCTCAAGTGAACAGGGACGGCTCCAGGGGTTGTCTCGACAGGAGTAGCCGAACAAATTAGCTGACAAAAACGACAAGAAAAGAGAATAATACAGAGTATGTGTGTAAGCAATTGGGAACCCTGACCTCCCGTCAGTCCATAGCAGTGCCGCCTCCCGGGTCACCAAGGCCAAGCCGTTGGACCCACTGAAGGACGACAAAAACGTCCGCCGTGCGAAGGCACTTGCAGGAATTTCGCTTCCGTGTGCATCTGAGTCGTCCACTATGATTCCGTCGAGCTGCTGCGCCTGCAGAAGCAACCGCAAAGCTTCCAGGCGCCTAGCAGCCGTTGTTGTATCCACACTACTCTTCCCCATCGTGCTGTTGCTTCTGCTCCTGATGCTGTTGCTGACTGCCGAGTAGGGCCGAAGCCTCGGTGACAGGTAGGCGGCAAGAGAAGTGTCAAAAGGGACTGGGAAGCCCCCCGAGAAGGAGGCAGCAAACGAAAAGTCAGCGGACAAACAGCTACGGGCGAAAGACACACACACGAACAGCCGGCCCCACATATGCCGCATCGGCATAACCCTCCCTCTCTGCCTTTCTTGCAGCTGCTGCTGTTGTTGCACCTGCTGCGTCTGGTAGAGGTAGTGAAAGTTGCACAACAATCCCTGTTGACGTCGGAGGACACGTGCGGGGGGCTGCGGAATTGCCAGTAGTTTGCGTGCAGACTTGCTAAAAAGAAGTCAGTAGACAAGCAACAAATTGGACAATCGAATGGAGAATGAAATTTTCCCGTATTGTCTATTGCTTCATTGCGTATACACCGTTGAGTTCTTCTGTGCCGGGCAAGCGCCTGCGGCTGGAAGTACAACACACACAGGACTACTTAAAGGCGGCAGTTCCGTATCTGCATTTCATAATAAACCCATTCTTCTGAAATGCTGAACTAGCAGCAATAAAGCGTAGTAACACTTTTGTGTTGTTGGCGGGGGCCCCAGTGGCCGTCAGGCAGGCGCATGCAGGATGGCCGTGAAAGGCCCTGGAGTGTCCCTCTACATATGTAATCCCTGTTGACAATCGGAACTTCTACATTACTTTCATTGTTATATATGAATGTATTAGAATTAGCTCGAACTTTTTTCCCCGCAGACCACAACCACGTGACCCGCAGGGCGGCAGCCGCTGCAGTAACAGAGCTGCCACAGTCTGCGGCGATAACAAAGGTGACCCCGCAGCAGCAGCAAGCGCATCAGGGAGGATGCTTATGCCCTCACTTCACATTGGATGGCACTGCATAGACTCTATCGCCTAGCAGCAACAGCAGCATCTAATCGTTCAGTGATACCAGGAGCAACAGCCGCAACAGTGGCAAAAGCACCTGCGGAAAAAGCAGCAACAGCAACTGCATGAAATTTCAACTGGAGCCGTTATACTAACGGCATCTGGAATTGCAGCAGTGGCTGTTGTGTTTGAAGATGACGGAGCGTTGGGTTTCCCAGAAGAAGCATTACTGCCAGATATGCAATACATGGCTAAGCGGGCATATTATGGTATGTATAACTGCTGCACTCGTTTTCTCTTTAATTCCTACTGTATCTGCTGTTCCTTGTGCTACTGCTTTTGTTGCAACGGATTATCCACGGCATCTGCACAGGTGTCCACGCAACTGTTTTTCTGACAATCGTTCTTATGTTTTACATTGCCAAATGCTGACGGGTTAGTGTTTGCATCCCTACTCAAGGTTTTGTGCGCAGAATATAAAGAAACATGAGCAGTCGACGCGGCACTTAGAAAATGCACGTCAACAGCTCAAGGACGCCTACCAGCGCCACCAGGACAAACAGAAGCACGAGCGGCTGCTTGAGCGGGAGCTGCAGCAGATGGAAGCTGCTGCTGCTGCTGCCATGCGAAACGATGAGGCCCGCCAAATATCTCACTGCGGCGGAGGCCCTCATAGAGGGAGTCTTCCCTCAGCCTATGATCAACTTCAGGCTCAGCGGGAAGAGAAGGAGAGAATTCAGCAGTTTTACAATCAGCGGAACTCAAGCAACTGTAAGTTGCGAGGGTTAGGGTTTAGGGCTGAGGTTTCAGGGTTGCAGGTGTTGATTGTGGGATTTGCTTGCAAAGCAAAGGGTGGCTGCCAGGGCCTCTCTAGAGCAGCATTAGGAGGAATTTTCTTGCCACCGAGGCAGCGATTGTCAACCGCATTGTTTGGGCACTCTGTGTGTGGAAAATGCGCTGCAGCAGGTACAACACAAGCATCTGTCAGCACTAGCGACGAAACCCGCAGCAGCAGCAACAACGGCGACGCCTGGGAGTTTGTGACGGACCAGGGGCTTCCTTTTTTCCGGAATAAGATCACAGGGGATGTTTCTTGGACACCACCACCCGGTGCCAGCTACGTTGCAGCATCGGCAGCAGCAACTGCTGCTGCGGCCGCTGTGCCTGCGGCTGTCGCTGCAGCTAGTGCAGCCCCTACAGCTCCTGCTCCAGCACGCCCGGCGTTGCGAATCCTCAGTGTAAAAAAGCCGGTGAAGAAGGAACAGCCGGACACGACGGCACCCGTATCTCCACCTACTGGGACAGCGCCTACTGTTGCAGCACCTGCAACGTTTGCTGGTGCTGAAGGACCACTAACCGCTGCTTCGGCAGTACCTGCTCATGTTGTTGTGAAGTCCGATTCCAGCGAAGCATCACCTGCTGCTACCGCTACAGCGCCAGTCCATGCTGCGGCTACTGCAACAGGTACTGATACGAGTGTGTGTGGTGGCGTTGCTGCTCTTGCAGCAGGTGTTGATATTCGAGTAGATGCATGTGGGCCTGATGCAGGTACTGACGCTGCACCTGTTGAAGCGCAAATGCCTGACTTCATCCCGTCAAGCAGCAGCAGGAGCAGCAGTGGCAGCAGCGCCATCCCTGAAGGTTATGTTTTTAAGACAGGCCATATGGGCCTCGGATTCTATAGGGACAGGCCCGTACAGCAGCACCACCGCCACCAACAGGGGCAACAGCGGCGGGGCCCTTCCAGCCGTGCACTTCAGCACCATTGGGGGCATGCGCAACATGAGAGGCAGCAGCACAACAGCGAACAGAAGCAGCAACACACACAGCACGCTCACCAACAATTGCGGCATGAGCGGCATTGGCAGAAGCAACAAATAGCGCCTCTCAAGCGGCCTCGGGAGGAGGCAAGCGCAGATGCCGTTTCCCCTCCAGCAGATGCTGCTGCTGCCATTGCTGCTGCTGCAGCCGAAGCTGCAGCAGCAGCGGCAACCCTCTGGGGATCCGGGACAGCAGCCAGTGAGGACAAGGACAGCAGCGGCGGGAGTCAGACCGGGACGGCAGCAGGTGCCGTAGAAACTGAGAAGGGCCTCACAGGGGCCCCAAGCGAGGGCCTGCGTAGGGCAGAAGATAAAGCTTCTGATGATAGTGCCCAAGAAGGTAGAGATGGGAGCATATCCGACGAGGGATCTGGAACGGATGGAGACAACTCGGAAGAGACAGAAGAGGAAACACAGGGCGCTTCAGCTACTGCAGCACCAAAAGAAGAGCTACGCTCAGCAACAGCACAGAGGCGGGTGGTGCCTGATACCGAGGGGCCTGTAATCGGTCCTTGGGTGGAAGCCAAGGACGATGGGTGGGATGCTATTGCCCGCAGGCAGCAGCAAGAGAAACAGCAGTTGCTGCTGCGCCAGGAGCAGCAAGAAGCATTGGAGCAGGAGCGGCATGTGATTTCAGGAGGTAAGAGCAAATGCATTTCTCTTAAGGCCCTCACTAACATCGGCGAACTTGCGAGTCGAAACCACAGGATTAACTCAATGGTTTGGGGTTTCTAGTGCAAGATTTGTTTGCAGTGGAACAGCTACGGCGGCTTCGAGCCCAAGTGAAGCGCCGGGGGGTTCACCACGACTTCTCTTGGCAGAAGGACGAGGAGGCAGAATATCTAAGTACCAGTGGCAGCACCACCAACGAGCAAAGCATTGAGGTGGGAATGGCCCGTCTTTGCACAGCTGTCTGTTCTCTGATGCTGTTTTCAGGTTTTGTTCTTCTCCCAGTCTGTTACACAGTTTATTTTTTCTCACCCTGTACCGCTGCTGTGTGCTGTGGGACCCGTTTCGCTGCCCCTTGCGTAGATGAACAGACGGTTGTCAATGCTCTTTAATTTGGATGGTTGCAGGGGACGCAAGTGTGGGACTCTTGCCATACAGCTTGTCTGAGTGCTTTCAGATTCGCAGCCGTCAGCGCCCCGCAGCCTCCAGGCAGCAGCAGGAGACTGAGTGACTCTCCGTTGGTTCATTTGTCCTTGCGTTTCAACCGATCGGTAAGCGAATACGGCACGAAGACTCATCATTTAAGAGGCTGAACGACTTGAATGCAGCAACCCTGAAAGCAGCAGCAGGAACACGATCGGCACCTACAGCACACAGCAAAAGCAGCTACAGCGACTGGAGGCAGAAAAGCCGCAAGAGGCATACCCTCCACCACCACCAGGAGCACCGCCTGGGGTATTTCTGGAATGCATTGAATCTTGTCAAATTGAGCGTTCTTCTTCACTGTTTTCCGTGGGGCTCTGGTAGGCAGCTAGGCAATTCACTTCCGAATTACTACGGGCTGGTGCCCCACATGATTGAAAGAGAGGCTAGGTGACGTATATCTGGTTACTGTATCAGTCACTATCCTGAAACAACTGAATAGACCGGACATGATATCTCGATGCATCTCGATGAAATGCAGTCAGCCTAGCTTTTTGCTCATGTCGGCAGAAAGCAATGGCGCCACCCGCAGTGCATGAGTTTCACTGGTAGTATACATATGGCCGAGAGCAAAGGGATTTAGCCGGATGAAGAGCTCGTTGGTAAATGAAGTATGAAGGGCCATATATATAAGTATAAGCCTTTTTACCGAGATGTTCAGTCCACAAGTTTACCCAAATGTTCAGTCCACAAGTACCGTATGCGTCAAGTGTTTTCCCAAAGACTGTCGCTTCGAGTAATTTATCAGCATGTATTTATAGCCGCCAAGGCGGAAACCACGGTACTTGACGCTGGTGTGCTATTGCTCTAGTTCCGAGGTAAGGATCCTGTGTAATATATTCGACATGCCTAACGGGGTCCGCACACAGAAGAGGGCGGCTCCACAGGGGAATCGTCCTTATATATAATGCGAACGCTCTGAATCTGGCAGCATAAGTAGGCTCGTTGTTTCTTCAGAGGGGGGCTGCTCCGCCCTGCTCGACGTTCGCTCGAGGTTGCGGCTGTTGTCTGATCTGGCGTTTTCATGCCTCTCTTCAAACTCTAACGGCCATTAGCATATTCAGTCTCATGGCGAGGGTCTCGTCAACCTTCCCTTTGGCATTTGACCATAGATCGATGGCAGTGTTTACTGCAGGTGACCGTGCTAATATGCGTGTGGCAATTGATGGTAAGCCAAGCCTCCATTGTGACGGGAGGTGCATCTAATCAGTGCTTTATCCATAAACAAAGGGAGTCCGGCTCCAATTTTATCACTTAGATTCCGTGTCCCACTAGCGGAGGGATCAGTCAACCGCAGACAGTCCGCATAGGGGCTCGCCGTCATCACCTAACTTTCGACCGGGTTCCCTCTCTCTCTGCACAGGAGCATCTACATAAAAATCTCGAATTTCTCTGTATTAAGTGTTTTATTCTAGACAAGTGGGTTTGTTACGGAGCCTTTTGTTTCTGCTCGTGCACCCTGGACTGTGAGCTGGCCCGCTGCCAGCTGTTTTGAGCCGGCAGTAGGTCTATCTCTTTTCCTGCTTCCTGTAGTTTCGTCTTACCGTTTGTGCAATTCACGTTTAGAGTATTTAGTGCGTGCTTCTAAGCCGCTCGGCCTGAGCCGTAATGCCGGCACCGATGAGCCCAGCGCCCTTCGAGCAACAAGGGCCTTCGCTGCCTCGCGTTTGCTTGGCCTTCTCCACAGCGATAGCAGACTACCATGAATCAGAGGACTATCTGCAACTGCAGCTACGGCAGCAGCTTCTGCTGCACCAACTACCGTTGCCGCATTGTCCCCGACTTCGACGCTAGCTGTTGTAACCTTAGCAGGAGCACCTGTAACACACGGTGTCCGTGTACCGTGGCTACGTATTCACCCCTATAGGCCTATAGGCCCCTGTATGTACTAGATCTACAAAACGCGTGTCCAAATACCTTAACTCTCAGTTATTCCCAGGGAAAATCCCTAAATTACGGAACTTCCGAAGGAAGGATCGATCCAAATCGCCTTCCATCATGAGTGTCTGTTCATCCCCGCCAGGTGCGGGTTACACCCTGCCGTCCATCCCGGAACCGGGTGCTGCGGTCGGACCGCAAGCAAGGCCCGACTCTTTCGGAATAACTCTGCTCCTAAATATACCTATTTTATTCTAATTCACAAGACCTCTATCCTTAATTGAATACACAGAGCCAAACATGACCTAACTATGTCACTTACCTTCCATGCGCCAGCGTGCATAGCTCTGCGACGGGGTGCTGCTGCTCAGCCCCAGCACCAAATCAACTGCTACACCTCTAATATGCTCCTAAACCTATTAATATTATCGAATTCCATCTATAGCTAAACCTAGGTAACCTCAGGTCTCTTACAGGCTGCTGTGCTCACTCTCTATCTTACACGCTGGCTACCGCAACTGTGGACCATGGAGTGCCGGTGCACTACAGCACCAGCGCAAGCACCACCAACAGCATTGCCACTGCCAGCAGCACCAGCAGATGTCACAGCAGACTCAACGAAAGCGGTTCCTTGCATCATTTGGAGGAATTCGAGGAGCTCAACTGCCCCCTGTCTGACGGCACCGGCGGGTGCAGCCGCTGCACCACTAACGGTAGCAGCAACCGGAGTAACAACAGCACCAAAAGCATTCTTTTGCGTGCGTTGAGACACTACTGGGAAGTCGGTACTGCTTTTCGATGGGGCTGTCGTCGGTCCTCCACAATTGGCGTCTCCTGTCTCTTTTACTTGTTGCCTTGCCTTGTGCTCCCCTTCGGCAGCAAGAGCAGCAGCGTGAGCACAAGGAGAGAGTTGGAGTCGTATATGTGGGGTCTGGTGGCGGTCGCCTCTTTTTTCTCCGACTACGTGTTTTCAGGGCAGCGTCACCACTGGGGCGTTCGTGCCGTTCACATGACAGATCGGTGGTTGGCGTCACTCGCTCTTTTGCTGCAGTGTTTGTACAACGTGCCCCTGTGGTTTTCGGTTTCCTTCTACATAGGAAATCTGGGCCTAGTGCTGGTGCTATGCTGCTGTGCACTTAAGGCCCGCAGCACTTTAGCGTCCTCTTATGAGGAGTACGTCTGGACTCACACTGCATGGCACGTTGCAGGGGCAGCTGCAAGGTGTGTCATGGCCTGCCTAGAGGGGCACTAAGAATTTTTCTTCGGCAAAGACTGCGGTTATTGGTGCTGCCGCTGCAGCTGCTAGAGGTGATAAGGACGAGGCCGTCCTTCTGAGGCTAGCGGGGACAAAGATTGCCACTGTCCCTACCAACGGCGACGCTAACACCAGTATCAAAGGTGAAAATTCAGTTATGAATAGGAGCTGGAGTTCATTTAGGCGATGCATACGGCAGCAACAGATTCTGCAGAATCCGCAGCGCGTTCTGCTGCGGCACCAGGTTGCGTCGGAGCAGACGTTTGCTGTTGCTGTTGCTGCGCCAGAGCACGATGCTCGTGAGTTCCACCGCGAACCTACCAAAGCAGCAGCAGCGGCGGCACTAACAACAACAACAGCAACAACAACAAATGAATGGTCACAGCAGGAGAAACGGAGATTCCGGTCGTTGCCCAAGTGTTTTTGCAGCTTCCGTCGCTACTCTAGGCCAGGCCTTTGCTTCCCCGCCGGCGCCTGCAGCCCCCAAAGTCGAGAATTTCTGTGGACCTTCGACGTGAATGTGTTTTGGTAATGAAGTGCGTGTCGCTAGCTTTGTTGGACTGGTTGAAGTGTTGTACGTTGCAGCTACCGGGACGGCTCCAGGCGCCATGTGGGATTACGGAGAAAGCTACTCATAAAAGGTTGGACAGGAGGGGCAAGTTTGGTTCATTTGCCGTACTGGGCACAACTGGAAATTTATGATAGCTTTTGAGGGTTCAAGACTCTGGAGTTTCAATACTTTAGGTATCTCAAGTTCCAGAAACTCCATGCAGTATTTCTGTGGTCGCCTCACGCAGGCTCCTTTGTAGCATTTTGAGGAGGGAGAGCAGTTAAGATTGCGGCACCCCGCGGCTCTGCTTGTTGAAGGTATTCCGCAGTCCTTATTCCTGCAGTCTCCCGCAGCAATTTTATTTCAGCCTTGCGGCATTAGCATCAAGGCTGTCGCAGAGTTGGGGAGGACAATGAAACCCCACTGGCAGCCGCAGCTATGAATTTCGTGAGATTCTAACAAAGGATAGGGTGTGTGGGCTCCAAACAGTGGGAGTTACGCACCGCTAGCAAATAAACCTACAACTGGCGGGGGCCCTCGAGTTGGGAGCAGAGTCTGCCAGAGTAAATGTAGGTACCCATACTTTGTGCAGTGAAAACGAAGGAAGTGTGTTTGAAAACTGATTACTGCTTGAGACCCTTATTCTTAATAAGGTTGGTTTTCTTGATTTTCCTTGCATGTAGGATTGCTTTTTAGTAGCCCTGCAGCGAGAATTGCTACTACATACAAGCGGCCACCGCCAAGGGCCCGGTGGTACTGTAGAGAAGTACGACCAGCGAAAATTGGGAAGCCAAACTGTTCTAGTACGCGGGAGCGGAGGGATTTTATCCTAACAGTTGTCAGTAAGTCCTTGCAGAATAACCTTCCCGAAGTTGGCAAGACATTCTGAAGGTGCCACATGTGCACTCCTTCGGCTGTAGTGAGGAACTCGCAAGGCGGAAAAAGTGGGCAGCATTTGTCCACATGTAGCTAGGAAGGCCTGTTTGTGCTTTATTGTGGGTCTCTTTTACACAGAGATTCAGCGAGATGCACTGCAATCCATGCGAGGTCGCCCTCTCTTCCACGGCTCTAGTCGCCGGTATCACTTCACCCACGACGTCTGTAGACAGGAGGAAAGTCGGGTGCTTACATTAGGCTCATACCCATTGTACTTTTGCTTAATTGGAGCGGTCGACGGTAAGGATGGGGTGCCCTGGTCTCCCCGTTAAGTGTACGGTTCTATCAAGTGTTAAGAAGACTCGTTAAACGAGAGTTCGTGTGTAATAAGGAATCTCGTTACGTGTAGTTGTACAGCATGCTTCACGACGAGGAACGAATCCCATCCCATCCGGCAGGGCTGCCTGGAGTTGAGCAGTTAGTCGTAGCTCAGGTGCTGCAACAAGCACATACATGCAAGCACTTATCAGAGGCCTCCCAAAATATGTTTG